TTTGACTCTCTGTCTGTGCATTGGCGGGAAAGTTATCTATCCAAGGGAAGGCAGGACCTGCCCCAGTTGTGAGCAACTCTGTACTGGGCAAGCCCTATGCAAAGGAAGCTTGTGGGGTGTCTTGGTAGCTGCCAGGCTTCCTGCAGATCAGCCACTTTGGGGTATAGTAATGTCATTTTGGATAACAAACCATAGAAAATGCCAGAATCTTCTGGGAAGTGTTTCTGCCTCTCTCCCTGCTGCTGCCACCTGCCAGAAGCAAGTGTGGATCAGCGGTTGTGTGGGCCACAACCCCAAGGACTTAAGTCTCAGACCAGCAGCTCATGACTGGACAGTGTTTCATTTTGAGGTTTAAGTGTGGGTTTGGTGTCAGCATCCTACTCCCTTCTCACCCATCCATTCACTAACCCTTTCCTTAGACCAGCCCCATGGCCAGCAGCCACCAAAACCACAGACAGGCAAACCCTCTGCTTGGAAAGAGGACATATAAGCCCTACTCTAAGCAGTTGTCCAGTCAAGCCTTTTCCTCACCCTGTGTAGAGTGACAACAATGTCATCAACATACACATAAACACATATGCTCATTCAGTGTGTCAGTCAGCATGTCTCTATACATGAAAACTCACATTTCTCTATTTCAGACATTATTTCAGTTCAACATTTGTGGTTCTCATTGTGGGTCAACACTGGGGTCTAGGGCCACAAAAAAGTATTGAAATAGAATCCTTGACATCAGGGGAATCCATGGGGCTGCAGAGGGCCGATAGCAGAAGCACTCATCCCCTTCCTCCCTAAGGGCCCTTCCTCCCCAAACCCTTGCTGGACAGTTTGGAGCTAAGGTGGGTTGTTTTGTTTGCTGGTTGGTTGTTTTGTTTTGGGGTTTTAGTTCACAAGATTGAGTTCAGGACTTCGTGCATGCTAGGCAAATACTCTGTCACTGAATTCCACACTAGCCCCAGCAGTATATGTTCAAGAAAAAAATTCAACCTGCTAAGTGAGGGCTCAATAAAAAAAAAAAAAAAAAAGTGTGTGTCCTCCTTCAAGCAGAAGCACAAAGAAAATTGAGTCATCACCTTCTTGTGCAAACCCCAAGAATTTCTCTCTGAAGTAGAGAAGATCCCCTTTGAAAACTCCACAGAGCCAGGAAGCAGCTGCCACCTGCCTCAGATCACTCTTTCACAAGAATCATTTCCCTCTCACGCTCTGGGTGGGGTTGCTAAAATGGAGGTACTGATGAAAACGACTGCAGCTCACACCTTGTTCCAGGATGGGCTGTGGGGAAGCCATCTCTCCTCTTGCAGCATTCCGTTTATTAGTGCAGCAGAGTCAGTGGCCACATGTCTCCTGGGGGTTCTCAGAGGATTTTGGTTCAAGATCCATGATGACTTCTGTAGAAAGCCATGTCAACCCACTGCCTGGGATTTCAAGACTCCCCCTCAAACGGGGTATATATAACTGTCCAAAGAGTGCATAACAGCGGTTCTCTATGGGTCACTGCATCTGAAATGCCTGCGAGGAAAGCATGGGAGTGTCTGTGGGCCCTTTCTTAATTTGCAGGCAGAGGGCATTGCCCTGACTTGTCTCTTAGGCAAGGGGAAACCTCTCCCTTTCTGCCAAACCTACAAATGAGAGCATGTCTAAAGGGGCAACTGGACTCTGATAAAGTAACTGACTTACTCCAGCAGTAAATAACGAGGTTGGTATCTCTGACAGCTGTGGCTGAGCCTGGGGAAAGGGACAGAGGAGGGCAAGGCAGACTAGCCAACAGTAGTCTGCTAAAGGGCAGCAAGAGAAGCTATTCATGATCACTTTGCTGACTTCAGAGGACAGGAACAGTGAGAGACAACTCACTATTTCTGGAATCCTCCAAAAGTGGTGATGGGGTGATGTTAGATGATGTGGCATCACAACTCTACCCCTATGTCCTTGGGTGAGTCCCATTATTTCTGAGCCTTCTGTTTCAAGAAAGTGGGGTCAGGAAAATACTAATGTGTATGGCTATTTCAGGGCTGTGGAAGAAAACTTACTGCTAAATCCAACTGAATCTGAGCAGTGGGAGCTTCTTAGGGATTTCAGATGGTGAGTGGCAATAGCGACATGCCAGGATTTTAAAATGGGATACTCCTAGCTTCTCAGTGATGCTATGGCGGTGACATCAGAAGCCCTAAAACAAGATGGAGCTGTCTTGAGCATCATTTTCCTTTAGGGAAAGATAGAGTGATCATTTTTCTTAAATTCAAACTTGGTATATGGGCCATAAAATACAAAACTATGGTGAGAGTGTAAGGTAGTACTGAAGGTGATAAAATGTTGTTATGCCACACCCAGAATTGGCCATACCCTCCTTACTGTAGGGGAGAGGGTGGGACTCCTGCAATCCCCAGAGACTGGAGTGTTTCAGGGGTGTCCACACCCTACCAGAGTGGGGGAGTCACCAACTCCTGTCTGTTTCCTCTTGGGAAAAAGAAGGGTTTTTTTTTTTTTTCCCCTAAATGATCTTTAAAGTCCCCATCTCTGAGTCTGTGACGGTGAATCAGGAAATTTTTCTGGAACGAGTGGAAGGAGATCTGTCATAGACCAGGAATGTCATGTGGTCCAGCCTCCCCTCCTGGGTAGTGGGAAGTTGGCAGAAAAATAGAAACTTTTTCCCTCAGCTGCCAGAGTCCCCAGCACATCAGCTCATCACTGCTTTGGAAGGATGTAGATGTCCTATGTGTGCAGGGGAATAACTGAATCAATCAAGTCTAACTCCAGTCCTCATTTCTCCCCACGGGAACACTCAGCCAGGGCTCTAAATGCCAATGGAAAAGGGTACCCAGAATGCTCTGAGTGATTAGAGAGACACACCTTCAGCCCCTAAGCCCCAAGATTCTCAAACGCACCCCTCTTTCTCAACAGTAGAGGTGCAATTTCCTAACAATGTTCTCTGGCCTTAGAGGAAAGGACATGCGCACATGGAGACTCATTCCCTTCTGCCCAGGGCCCCTTTCTCCTCCACTGCACAGGGTACCTGGGGTCGCTGGGCTACCTCAGGACACATTTCTAGTTTTTGACTTCTGATAAACATTGAACAGTTTTTCCTGACACTCCACCCCTGCCCCGCAAAAATTTTGCCCAATCTCAAAGCTTCCTCATCTCCCAAAACCAGTCACTACCAGAATGGGGCAACTAGGATGCCCCGCCCTTTCTCCTCCGCTCTGCCTACCCAGACCCACATCCTCTAAGTCACATCTCATTTCCGAGTCTCAGTTCCTTTCCAAAAAACTTCACAAGTGCATGAAAACCAGACCCAGGCAGTCACTACTGTGGGCTCTCTTCTCTGCTTCTTCTGGGGATATATTATACAACAGAGACAGCCTGCTGGTCTCTAGGACCTGACTCCCGGGGACACAAGGGATCCAAGGACCTGGGAGTAGGCTTTTTTGAACATCTGGGAGACAAGCTAGGAAAATACAGGAGCTCAGCTCCTCAGCCACAGCAAAACGTGTGTGGACGTCTAACCTTTCTCCTCTCCTTGGAGGCCAGGTCCAGGGCTCTCCCTGCCCTTCCTCCACCCTTCCTGAACCTTTCTGCCTTCCAAGGGCTGGTTGGAGCTCTGATTCCCTTTGGAAGCCTCCACTGTACTCTTAGCTGGCCAGAACGCCCCTTTCCCTGAAGTCTGTTGGCTTCGTCCAGCACATGTGTTCAGATATCCCATGACAGTCTAAGCTATGGAATTTAATGAACCTGAATCCATACCCAGTACCACGCCTTGCTGTTTGTGAATAGGAGAAGTCACCTACCCTCTCTGAGCCTCTGTTTCCCCTACTGGGGGAAAAAAAAGAAAGAAAGAAAAAAGAAAAAAGGTTTGGTAATAGAACACTTCTCACCAAATCACCATGAAGATAAAATTGTAAAAGTGATAGCATATGTGAAATACCCAGCATGGCACAGAAAAGGGGTACAAATAAACAGCCAATGGAGTCATGTTGCTATTCTTACTATTTGTATCACTTCTGCATCAGAATTCAAAATTTATAATCTCTACCTAGAATGCCTAAAACCCCCAGGGTGACCACCTCCACCCAACTGTAGGCTGAGCTGACTTAATGCCCTAGCTGACACTTCTTTAAAAAAAAAAAAAAATTAACTGTGCACGGCGTTCGCGGAATTATCTGTTCAAACATAGACAAAGGAAGGGAATACTTGGGACTGAGCCATACTGAATACCTGACTCCAGCTTCTTCCCCTTCACAGCCACCACCCTCATTTAGATGTGATATTAAGTCCTTGTGTACCCTGGTACAGGTCCTCTCTTGCTCTGAAGCTACCAGGAAGTGAATATGAACTGTGTTGCTTTTTGACTTTGCCCAGGCTGGCAGAACCTGTAAGGACTGTAAGCACTGGACAGCTGGTTTAATCGAACCTCTTGGGCGCTCAGAGCTTGGACACAGCACCAGTTCAAGTTCCCACAAGCTAAAGCAGTTGATGACCAAAGCGGACTGTAAGATCCCTGAAAACCAGGCTAAGCCCGGGCTTTCTCTCTTCAGCTCATCACGGGGGCTCTCTGGCTTATAACTCTGTGGACACCTTGAGGACTGCTCTACAGGTCCCGGGCTCCCGCTCTGCCCCAGTCCCTGGCTCTGCTCTGACACCCACAACAAGCTCAGCCTTGCTTGCTGAGCCCTTGGGCACCAGAGCCTGTTAGTCCGGACACCGGCTGCGTGCATCCAAGAGTACAGTTACTTTTGCACCATGTGCTCCAGCAAGCACCAGCGACCTCGCCCAAAATCTGCAGCGGGCAACCTGCCCAACCAACTTTCTTCTCCCTTTCTCTTTTCCTTTCACCAAAGCGGCGCATCCCAAGAACCAACTCTGCCCCACAGCGTAGCCCCAAACCCCAGCTTTGCTTCTCTGAACCCACTTCACCGCATTCCCTCCCGGGCGATTCAACCCAGGGGCATCCTGCTGGAGTGGGCATTTTGCATTCGCAACCCGCTGCCCAGGCTAGGGCCACTCACCAATCTGTGGCTGCGCCAGGCTCAGTGACAAGAGGCAGAGTCCCCATGCTGCTTGCCACCAAAACTTGTCCATGGTGTGCGGGATGGAACCGAGGAATCTAGTCGCCTCTTAAAGAGGGTCGCAGGGAGCGGGGACAAGGAGGATGGATGGAACCTGTCACGGGCTGGGGGCAGCTGGGCAATGAGGCCGCCTCGGAAGTTGGCTGCCGTTTTTATTCCAGGCTAAAAGAGTGACCTAAGAGGGAGGGAGCGCGCGAAGGACACACCCAAAGCAAGGGGGCTGTGACTAAGCAGCCAACAGAGGTTTAAAGATACACCAGCCTGCTTTCGCTGCTGACCCTGAGACCCTGCCCTTTTCTCCCAGGAAGCTGAGAATTGCTGCCGCCCCCATCCGCCCACGTTCCACCCCCGAGGCCACTCCACAGGTTTCCTTCTCTGGCCAGCCCTCCTGCCTTTGGGGAGCATTGCCTGGGACAAGGAGAATGACTGAGTCTTGTGACCTCACCCTTCTGAGTTCAGCTTCAGGCCTCTCCTGTGCCACTAAACTTCTGGGAACCTGGCTGGGGAAAGACTGTCTGGGTTTCCCAGGAAGCTGGAAGTCTCCTGGGGAGGAGCTGAGACAAAGGAGATCCTGCTGAGAGTGAAGACTGTGCCTTCCAGGCCAGGGTGGGGATTAAAAAGTGGGGAATTTGTCTTTTTTCCCTCTAAGAGTTCAAAATGCTCAGTGGCTCTGCTCAGGGAAACACAGTGATATAGAGCTATGGGGATCATATCTGACTCTATTATCTGACTCTATGGGGATCACATTGGACTCTACCAGTCCATGCTGTCACGGTGTCAGCCTCTTATCCCAGGAAGGTACCTCTATCCTTCGACCCACCCACGAACACACTTCATTCATGATCTCAAATATCTATTAATCCATCTACCAATTCCTTAAATCCTTCTGGAATCCACACATCCCTCCATCCATTCCCCTGTCCACCTATTTTTCTTTATATGCACTAAGCTAGTCATACTCCGTCCACCACCAAATCTTACATTTATCCATCTGTACAACTTTTCATCCACCATCCCATAAGTCCTGTTTACAGTTCTCTTAAGCTCGCCCCCCTCCACCATTGTCCCCACCCATCCTCCAACACGCTGACACACACATTCCCTCCATCATTTTATCCAGCTTCGCATCCACTTACGCGGTCACTTCTTTCTTGTTTGCATCTTCGCTCCATTCGCTGCGAACTTTAATACACTGCCATTTATGTATTAACTGAGAAATCTCAAAGAGGCACATTGTCATATTCTTCAAGGGAGACATTTCAAGGCTGAAAACGGGAATGGGGGGGAGGAGATCATATGTTAAATCGAAATTCCCTATCTTTTCTAATACACCGCGAGTCACAATTAAAACATCAAAAGTCGTGTTTATTTTTAATCTGAACTACTGAAAGGGAATCTGAGTGGACTTCTTGCTGAGTGCGATACATGGGAAACATGCCTGTGGCTGGACCCTGAAGGGAATCATGACAACGATGTTTTGGGATTTATTGAAAGAAAGTGAAAAAGTTAGAGAAATGCACCCAGCCACCTGTCCATCCATTTATTCATAAAACACATAATGGGTGCCAAGGGTACCAAGATAAGCCAAACCAGGTTTGTCTCCAGGCACTAGTTTACAATCACAAGACAGCTGCTGCATACAGCATGAAATATACTGTAAAATAGAGCCAGGACTGCAAAGATGGCTCAGTGGTAAAGTGCTTGCCACCAAACATGTGACTTGAAACTCACATAGTGACTCACGCAAATAGTCCTCTACCCTTCACATGCCTACCATGGCATAAATCTATACACACACATACTAAATAACTGTTGAAATGCTTTGAAAATAACTAAGCACGCATGCTTTGTGTGTGTGTGTGTGTGTGTGTGTGTGTGTGTGTATGTGTGTGTGTGTTTAGGACACTACCTGCCCTGCGATATGAAGAAAAAAAAGTCACGGTATTTTCTTGGGAACACCAATAAAACACCCCAAGAAGGTGAACCAGGTGTAAATGAGAAAGAATTCTTGAGAAACTGAAGGGTCATGTCACCTATAGGGAGTTCTGTCAAGGAGTAGCTGGGATTCAAGAGTAGAATGCCTATCTCTTAGTCCTGTATGGTTGTTTACTACATTATGGCCTCAACAGGCAATGAGGATATTTGTGCCCATTTCCAAGTGTAAGTGGGCTTAATAATATTATCCACCTTGTAGAATTGATAAGAAAGAAATGGCTTTGAAAGTCCTGCATGGAAGGCCTGGACAGTCTATGGGGCCTCTGGCAGGGGAACCAGTATTTATCCCTAGTGCATGAATGGGCTCTAGGATCCCATTCCCTATGGAGGGATACATGGGGGAGGTCCTAGGTCCTGCCTCAAATAATGTGACAGGCTTTGATGATCCCTCATGGGAGGCCTCACCGTCCCAGGGGAGTAGATAGGGTGTGGGATGAGGGGTTGGTGGGGACATGGGAGGATGGGAGGGAGAGGAAACTGGGATTGGTATGTAAAATACAGTTGTTTTTTTTTTTAAATAAAAATTTACTTAAGAAAAGTCCTGAATCTCCTAAATACTGGATATGTGTAGGCATGTATGTTTGTGCATAAGCACACACACACACACACACACACACACACACACACACACACACACACACACTGGACCAGCTTGGATATTAGAGCAGATGAAAAGACTGAAAGGGAGACAGAACAACAGATGACTAGAGAAGTCTGCAGGGGCCATGCTGTAGATGGCAAGGAACTTTGAACTTTTTCCTGTAGAAAGCCAAGAGCCATTGCAAGTTCTAAAAATGATTTTTATATGAAAACACACATACCATAAAATGTAATGTATTATCAGTTAGATGGCATTTAGTTGATTCACAGTATCATGGCCCCTTCACAACTTCCTTGTAGGTTTAGTAGTTAGAGAGAGCCTTATATCAGCATATTCAGAGACAGTGATGGGACTGCAAAATCACTGAACCTAGCCAGTCTGTGGCTGCAGGGGTGTGACTCAAGGATCTGCCTCTCTGAGATGAAGAAGATGGCTTTATGTGAATATCAGACACTTTAGAACCTTCCAGTAGCTGGAAAGAGCTGGTCACCCTGCTGTTTGTGACCCAGCGACCATTTACTTCAAATTCTAAAGGCCCCATCATTTGGGATAAAAATCCTAGTGGGTTTGGTGAACTATGGATGGGGAATGATTTTTGTCTATTTCTCTTTGGAGGTGCAGGAGGGAAATAGGTAGCCACCAGGAATGATGTTTGTTTTTGTGGAACTCAGGGGTTCCTTTGGGAGCCCCTCAGAAAAGGACACAGAGTCCAGAGTGGAGGATTTACACTGAGCTATGTTCCTCGCTTGTTCTCATTCTACAATAAAAATTCCACACAGTCATTTTTATAAGTAGAAGACCATGAGAGAGTCCATTCTGACAAAAATTTTACTCTTAAACAAACTAGAGGGGGGAAGAAACACCAAACTAGATAACCTCAGACCCTGCCTAGCTGGACTCTTGCGATTAGTTCAGTAAACAACACTGCTCAAAGGTGTGTGGTGGGAGCCGACTGAAAATGCTTTGCAAGCTATAGAAAGACATGCAAATACTCTAGAAATTATTATTAGGATTCTTGTTGTCTCTTCCCGATAGTTCAGTGAGGGGCTGAGACAGCTTGCCCTGGTGCCACAAATGACTCATTTTCAATAACAGACTTACTGAGTCAGGCTAGTCCTTGGGAATTCCTGGATTATCTCTGAGCCCCCTGTCACCCCCTTTTCAAACACCTCGCCCACACCACAGGCCACAATGTCTTCCCCAGTGTCTCTGTCGTCCCTCTATAAAGGTGAAATCCTTAAAATAATTTACCTCGGGCTTTTGGTATCAATTATGCATTCGATCAGTCACCTTTTGTAAGCCAAACTATGGATGTGGGATACTGGAAAAGAGAGCTTGAATTGGTGGGGCTTGACATGAGCTCACAGGGTTTGGAAAGAAGCCAGAATGCAGTCATCAGCCTTGAGCTGAGAAAGCCCAAATCTGAGCATTGGCTCTGATGTTATCAGTGACTTAACCTCTGGAAGATTTGAGTTCAAAATGAGGATAAGGGGATCATCTCCATAGTTTAGGAATACCTAGGAAAAGAAGACATCAGAATCTGCCACTGGGGTGCCTGCTTGGTGGAGAGATCAGTCATCACTATATGAGCTGCCTGAGTTCAGGGACACAACTGTGTTGGGCACCAGTGTATCAGGTGCAGTGGCTGACATAGCCCAGTCTCTGGCTTTATCTATCGTGATCCATAAATAAGCACTGTACAAATGCCTGAGTGAGTGCTGCTCTCTCTTTTCCCATCACAGCCTGTGGGGTGTTTCAGAAGCCACATGAGCTCACAGTTGATGCATGTAGGCAACTTGAGGGTTGCTGAACTCCTTTAGGCAGTACTCTCTGTAAAATGACCAGTTTAGCAGCCTGCAACCTGTTCACATGAGCAGACTAGATGTTCTTACAGAAACACCGGGATCTGGTGGATTCTGGTGGGTGATAATAAATCTCTTCTTCTTACGCAAAGAAAAATAAAATCTAAAATCTAAACCAAATGCGAATGGAAGTATGAAGGGCAAGGCTAGGAGAGCCAGGGATGGATTGTGGAACTGTACAAACATTGAATAGTGTTCAGTGTTTTCACGGAGCTATTTCACAGATGAGACTTGGGCTGTCAAGGTGAAGGTAAAGATACCATCCCAGTTAAAATTGAACTCTCAATGGAATTCATTCTTTTCTCACAGTCATAGGATGAATTCTATACATGCAAATGAGCACTAGTGAGAAACACGATGAAATCATTTTGGTGGAGTTCAAGGAACCGATAACTAGCAATGAGTGAATCTTCATGATAAATAAATAACCTTGATTAAGTAGCTATTCTTCAGCTAACAGTGACCACAGAGTTTTGTTGCTTGCATTCTCTTGCTTACCTTGATTTCTCCAGTATTATGAAGGCCAGGGCTCCCTGACTAGGAAATGGTGTCCCTCACAGTGGGCTGGATCTTCCCACATAACTGACTTAATAAGACAAACGTCTATAAAAATGTCTAAGGGCAAATCAATGTAGTCTCATTGGGACTCTTCTCAGGTAGTTGTAGGTTTTATCAAGTGACAAATCTAAGGTCACAA